ATAGTAACTAGGCTGTGAGCATGGCATTTTTGCTTTGATTTACTCAATATATATATGTATTTATATATATTGAGTAAATCAAATCAATACAGATATATTTATTTGACATTTCGTCTCAAGAACAAATGGCATCGGACAATCAACTCTTATAAATGAACGAAAAGTTTCTAAGTCAAAAAACCATTTTAGTTCTACTTGTGTAGCTTATGGCGCCGAATCTGGACTTCTGTTTGAAAAAAGAACGTGCATTGATCAATCTCCAATGTCGAGAGATTGTTCTTCCATTTTCAGAAGTTTTCTAAGTAGCGTAGTTCGCTAGATCACGTCGTGCACATTTTGTAAAAAAAATGACTACAAAAAAAACAAATAGCAAAAACATATAATGTCTGTCGACATAATTAGTTACTAATGAGTTGCCACGCCGTAAACATTGTTTAAGGTATTATAATGCTATAAATAATTAACAGCAGTTTTTATCATGATCAGATAAAAAATCGAACGTCTTGTAACACGAGAGTGCAAGAGATATGCAAGTCCAAACTTACATTCGAGAGTTTTTTATCAAGTCTGTTTAAAGTCCAGTTAGAATCTACCATATTTCAAGAATGAAATCAACGTAATCTTTAAACATATTTACAACGTATTCTTTTTTGTGAAAAATATATTAAATATATATAATAATGACGAAACATTATGTATTGATCGTATATACTTATGACATTTGTCAACTTAGTTATTAAGAAGAAGAAAAAAGAAATTAGTGTAGTAGAAACTAGAAACTCGACTAGACTAATTAAACAGAGAAGGTTGATGAATAACAGCAGATATATATATAATGGAATAGACATTTAAATTACACGTCTATCAGATAGATTTCAAATACTGTTTCATTTAACACTTTACAAATACGTTCTCAGTAGGAAAATTTTATCTTATTTTTCGTTTTACATAATCAAAAAGGCAGTGACTACTACGAACTTCAAGAATAACTCTGACTATATTGAGAAAAAATTAGTCGAAATATTTTCTGTCGGGTGTCGATTTGATTTGATCTTGGAAATGGTTGGACTTATCCACCTCAGATTAGTTTTAACGCATTATATGAAAGTAAAAGACTGAAACGGATCTTAATAAATCAGACTCTAACGCGTTGTACGACTTTAGACAAATTATATTGAACTATAACAAAATAAAAAATTGAAACGCATTATAATTCTATAAGTTTAGAGAGTTGTAACGCTGCGGAAATTTTTACCTAATTATAACGTCACAAAATCATGAAAAATAACTTTTTAAGATTATAATACATTAGGCTATATCTGTTGCGTTGTACCACAGTTGGTTGACCTTGATCATGAGCTATTATAAGCACAACATGTCCGTTTTCTGATCTTTTATTTCATTGTGTTCCGTATGGCATTTTTGAAAAACAGACTATGGACTTATATTTAAGTCAACTAGAGTTATATATATTCTAGGACCATGTCGACTCTTGCCTCGTGTAAAAGTGAACGGAACTATGTGGAAATACCAATGTTTTGAGTGAGCCGATAAATCGTCATGAACTGTGACGGACCGAATAGCCGATCATGAAAAAGAAACCTCATAGGCTCTATGTTAGGAATTTTGTTTAGAGAGAGCGGCTCATGTTTCTTCAGCAAAATCAAGAATTATTTTTCACACAGTAAAAGACAAGTATTTTTTTAATATTTGTGTCATTTAACATATTTTTATAAATTTCAACATTTTTTTTTCTTCTAACAAACTGTTTATATTCTAAACGTTTATCAAATTATTGTAGCTAGAAACATTACACTCATGTTTTTGTTAAAAAGTATTCTCGACTGTTTTTACGTCGCCGCACGTCCATGAAAGGCGATTAGGAGATTCTATATTTAAAAATTACTTTTCTAAAACCATCTATTAAGGTTTTATTCATGTGCCTGTTTCGCTGTTGACGAAATCATTTGAATCAGAACATATACAAAGTATAGATAAATAAATTGAAAAAGTTATTATTGGTTTGAGAAGATAATTGTTTTTACTGTACAGTTGACAGTTGAAACCAAATAATACGAACGAAATTCAGCGTTCTTGCTGGATAATTTGATGAGAAAACAATTTCATATAGCATGATAACGTTATAACATTTATCGTCAAACGGTCTATATTATATAATTTGCTTGGTTTGTTAATAATGGAAGTCTTATCTATCTCTGACGCTACGTCAATTAAACGATACATGAATAAAGGACTAATTCTTTCTAAATTTCACTTTTCCATCCCTGTTCTTAGATTTTATTTTTGTTGTATAAAGTTTATTTTGCAAGATTAGAACATGTTTACAATGAATATAATTGAGATTTTGTCATACTACTGTTCATTCTCATCCTCATATCACAACGATCAGAGAAAGACAAGTTACGAAAACGATTATCTCAAGAGAAAAATAAATAGATAATCTGTATTGTAGCATTCTGTATTTATCAGCTTAATTTTATTCTATATGAACGATTATACAGTAGCAGAAAATTTTCATTGAACCACAGATGTGACGAAAGTCACAATTAATCTGTACTCAGCATAGTCTCTACAGAAGCATGTCTGTCTGTAAGGATGTCAGGAAGAGGGACGCGAGGAAACAGACAATGGAAAAAATGGTAGTAACTCAGTAAAATCTCCCTTTAAACTTCATTTTTTTCTTTCATACGAAAGAAAAGGCTGCTTTAAGTAAGATGGAGTGAGCATAGTTAAAAGAGAAAATACATTTTTTAGATAATCTTTTCGAGCATGGAAATCTACTCCTAAACGACATAACAGGGCTTCCATACGGCGTGTCACTGTTCGTGAAAAACTTTATTGGTCTTGAAAGGAGTTTAGAGTTGGTCAGTGAGGCAAATATTTTCCAAACTCCTTTCGAAACAAATAAAGTTTGTATTTCAGACATAAACGTATAGGTTATATTTACTAGGCTCATTTCATTTTTTATTAGAATTGAAAAGAAGGTTGATGAATTTTTTTTTTCTTATCAAGATACCACTTTAAATGAGTATTACACTTCAACTGATTACATTTCAGATGATATTTATTTTCTTAGATTATTAAACGATTCTTTCTTGTTTCAGTTTCAATCGGTATTCAAACTAAAAAAACTAATTTAATGAGAAATAGTAAGTAGTCGTCATTGTTTTTAGGTACAAAAAAGTGAGTTGTAAGTGTATAATTAGAAATAAATAAAGTATGACTAGGAAACGTGTATAATACAAAAATAAATTTAGCAGATCTTTGAGCATACTGGTAGGAGCAAAAACTCATTATCCATATTCTCATAGTTTAAATAGCACAAAACAACAATGAAAAAACTATAAGGAAGTTTTCTTGCCGCTAAAATCGAATCTCTTTCCTTCAACATAATAAAGTTAAAGACAACGAAAATAAATCTTCTATAAGCGGTAAATGACATTAAATAACACCCTGACACTAAGTTTCCTAATACGCATTCCAGCATGGCATCGTTTTAATTAATTTCCATTTTCTGAAACGAAAAAAAGTTTACATCGTCATGCACTGTAGTATAAATTGGACAGGAACACTATTAAATAAGTGAGACAATGCTCTATACTGTCAGAGATCACAAGAAAAGTGTACTCAAAAAAGTTAAATCTACTACCTCGACATTGTGTCATTCGTTTCAATACTAGTCATCTCCTATTACAACTTCCTAATTATAATACTTACAATGTAATGGATTTTTTCAACGCATTTTTGCTGAAAATGTTAGTTTTTATTTTTTATTATCTTTTAATGCCTTTAAACAAATATCAGTTATTATTTTTGTTCTATCAACATTTTGATCATGTCGTTGCAATGTAACTCGTACACAATTTAAATTTCTTAATAATAAGAACATAGTCTTTGGCATTTGTTTTAAAATTCGAAATAAACTTGCACGTTTTTTTTCCATTAATCTTTTAAAACGTTGTTGAATTTCTAATTGTTGTTCAACATTCATTTTGTTTAGATACTCATCGTCATTTGGCATCATAAATTTTTCTTGTTTTAATGCTAAACATTGTATTTCATATGGTAAACCTGGATCCCAGTTTTTAGCATATTGAGGTACAGCATATTGTTCTGTACCTGGTAACATCATCATTGTAACAAATGTACAGAATAGTTCGTAATCTTTTTCTGGTGCACCCACAGCAACGGCAGTTTGTCTCATTTTTTCTGAATCATTATTCACCGTTGCTATCCATAATTCACATAAAAGTTTTCGTTCTTCTTTCAATAATGTTTCATATAATCCATGATCCAACAAAATAATCTGAGCAGTTCCATCTTGACCTTTTCGAACATGAACTATTCAAAATAAATAAAGAAAACGTTAATAACTGGAACGTTTTATGTTCAAATAATGTATTTACTGTTGCCAAAATGTGGATCACAATGAACAAATCCATCGTGAAAAATCTGGTGTGCGAATACAAAAACTAATTTTTCATCAATCTGAAAAGTAATAGCTAATGATATAAGCCTATTCTAATCTTTTGAATTCCCTTACATCTTTCAATGACAAATTCATACTTTGAAGTACATCCATTCGATTAATTGCCACACCTTCTAAGAATTCGTATGTTAAAACTCTCTTACGAAAAAAAGTCATTCACATTTAAAGTAAAGTATACACATCACTAAAAAATATTTACTTTTCGTGTAGTTTCCCAATAAACTTTTGGTACTGCAATAAATTTTAAATGTTTCAAATGTTCACGACATTTTTCAGCATTTCGAGCTTCATGACTAAAATCTAATTCCAGACTGAGATCATCATGTAATTCCTAAACCAAACAGACTGTTGTTTATTCTTTGTGTTTCAATCAGAGCTAGGCATTTTTGACTTGATTTGCCCAGCTCTGATTTCAATAAGATTCCCACATACTTACATCCAACATCCATGCCTGAAATAAATAACAGAGTAGGTTAGTTATTAAATTTAGATAAACAAATTTTGAAATTTCGAAATTTTAAAACAAGAAACAAATTAGCTTCCACATTTGATAAGTTGTAGATTCTAGAAAACTAATGTATTCGTTATCGAACAGATTTTCCAGCTAGAAAAGGGAATCCTAACAAGAAACAGGAAATTATGTCATTTTTACCATAGTCCAATCACGGTTAAACCATTCAAATAGACGAAATATAATTTTCATTGTAGCAATATCTGTTTCATATCGATCACGCAAATCGTAATATTGAATTTTGACAGCCACACGTTGGTTATCTTTTGTCTGCGCATCATAAACTTCTGCTAGACTGAAGAAAAACGAAAATAGTAGTTAAATATTAACAAAAGAGAAGAAAAAAAGGAAGAATTCAAATTTCTACCTAGCTGCAGCAACTGGTATACGATTAAATTGCCCGAATACTTCTTCAGGAGAATTTCGAAAGTATTTTTTGAATAATATATCTACCTAGATTTCACAAGAAAATAACGACACCTTGTTTATTTTAAAACACCGACGTAAAATTGCTATACTTCTCCTTTTTGTCTTCGTAGAGCACGTTCTTGTAATACTTGTAATTCTTCCGCATATTCAACTGGTATAACTTCGGGTAAATTGACAAACGCTTGACCAATTTTAACATAAACGCCTAAAAAATGTCCATAAACCATATTGATAATTTAAACAATATTGATAATTTTTAAAAAGTTTGATAGTGCTATTTTTATTCTTGTTTATAAGTAAAATTAAAACAAGTTACCTACCACCATTTCGTATACATAAATCAACAAAACGTTTACCATTTCGACGTCGACATTTTTCTAATGCAGTAATATATTCCTTTGATCCCTAAAAGATAAGACAATACTTCATGTACAATGTCTGGATTCTATCAATTACAATAATAGAATACCTTTTTGAGAAATAATAAACTTGTTTTATAATCGATGCCAACACGCATTCCGACTGTTAATGCACTTAAAATAGAAACATATGTATTAGAAAAAGAGTAAATACAGAGTTTTATTCACCTTACTGTGCAGCACGTGTTATACTTCCGAAGACAATTCGATGTTTTCTTCTGTTTTCAGCATTTGTTGATAAACGATAGAAAATTAAACTACTTAGAGGTAAACCAATAAGTATAGCAGCTCGTTTAAAAGAGAATACTGATAAAGTTGGAGGAGCTACGCTCTGAGATAATTTTAAAATTTGTTGTTGTTGAAAATTTGACGATACAAGATTGTACAAAGGCTTTAAAAGTGGCTTATTAGTCACAACAGTCGACATCTAAAAACAAAAAAAAATACGTATAGAAAAAGTAATGTAGAATAGCGTCCTGTCAGATAAAAAACTGTCAATGCCTTTTCTGATTTGGCTTCGGAAAACTGAAAATCCAACCTCTACTTAACAAAACTGCACTTGAGTCTCCTACTCAGCCAAAATCCTATATTTACTACTAACTTTTCTTATTAGAAAACCTTGTTCTAGTTAAACTATAATGAAATGAGACTATGTCTGTAATAGTTCACGGTTTCTGTTCTTTCAACAGAACCACATTCCAGTTCAGTTTGTTGAACGAAAGCTGAAAATACAATTTTCGTTCTTGTCCAACAGTTCACGTACATATGAACGACGAACGGTTCATTTGTTCTAGTTCCTTCGGACGGATGCTACAGTTAGCAAGAAACTATTCATGCTTTCGTTCTTAGTAATCTGCTAGCTTGTTATGCATTCATATAGTAAACATTTTGAAAGAGCGAGCAAACTAATAGATCACTAGGAACGAAAGCATGAACAGTTTCTCGCCAACTGTAGCATCCGTTCGAAGGAACTAGAACCAATGAGCCGTTCGTCGTTCATATGTACGTGAACTGTTGGACAAGAACGGAAACTGTTTTTTCAGCTTTCGTTCAATAAATTCAACTCAAAAGTAGTTCCTGTTATCAACGAACGGTGAACTGTCGAAGCCTAAATGAGACATTAACTTCTTTGTGGGGAACGCTGACGTTAGCAATTCATTGTAGCTTATTTAGATCGTCTATTTTAAAAATACCGGTGCCGGGTCAAGTAGGCGCTTACCTGAGCATGAAATTATCAAAAAAAGAGTTGCAGTGTGGCTTAATGTATACAATTGAGGTACTGTAAACTATCAAAAAACAAGACATTTTTCAAGAACTTTGTCGCAAAACTGCGTTTCACTGATTGTGTTTGTTATACGTACAATGCGTATCTATCAGTGATTTTTGTCCTACTTAACTCTAAATTAAAATAAAACATGTGCTGAGAAAAAAGAAATTTCTTGTTTAGTAGAAAAAAATAATTTTAAATATGAGTGATCGTTTATTGTAACTACCTATTCATGCAGTAAACGTGTAATTTTAAGATTTATTTTATCACAGTCAGGGTTCTTCTTCACTCGTAGTAGCGTTTTTTAACTCGTCAAGTATCTCCTGAAAATTTTAATGGCTAAAAGTAGAGTTCGGTTTTATCAGACTCGAACAGAAAGGTGGTTTTTTTATGTACGTTGATATTGAACGATGCTTAGTGATTGTTCAATTAGTTAAGTAATTGAACTGTTGGAACGTTACAATTCTGTTAGCCTTGGTACTGAATAAAGAGGCCAGATTAAGTCTAAACGAATGCATAAACCTATAATTTGGCCATGAAATGATTGTGGAAATTCGTTTCTATTCCTTTTTAGCATTCATTTTAAGGGTACCCCTCTTTTTTTACCCTCTTGGAAACTATCGAAGCCAATGGCAGATTGGGTTCTAATTTATACCAGAGATAGAACATCGAAAAAGAAAATCGATGTATTTTTACCCAGACTTTTCTGACGTGTTCTTCTATGGGTTTTCTAGAAAACTCCAGTTTTTCACTGGCACACATTACGATCTCTCGAAAAAATGGTCCGATCGAGCTCAAAATTTTACCACAGATATTTCAGACCTTATCTAAGTTTCGTTTGTTTTCCTTTCGAAAAATATTCTTTCCTTCTCGAGATATCCGAAAAATACTGAAAATCCCATATAAAAAAACGATTTTCAATTTTGAAAACCTTCTCATGCCGAAAGTTGAAGTCAAAAACGCTTTTAGAGAAAAAAGGACCTGAGATAAGGTCTGAAGTATCTGTGGTAAAATTTTGAGCCCGATTGGACCATTTTTTCAAGGGAACGTAATGTGTGCCAATTGAACGGACTGTTGAAAAAACGCATAGTGCGAAAAACACATATTGTACACAGGATCTGTTTTTCAGGGCATTTGGGACTATGCTTATATCTCTAAGAAAACTCTTCAGAAAATTCTGAAAAACATCTCATTTTGAAGAGTATACTTTCTTCTATCATGCTATATATAAGAAAAAATTTTGAATATATAGGGAAGGAGAGAAAAACTTATCAATCTAAAAAATTGAGATTTTCTAGGCTTTGAAGGAAAAACTTAAAAACTTCATAATTTTTTCAAGGAAGGTCATGAAGAGCTGGGAGTGGTCTCATTTTATAGTCCAGACTTTCCTCTATATTAGACTATGGTCAGTTCAAAATGACAACTTCTCTGGAAAAAAGAGGGAAGGGTACCCCTAAGTCAAAACAACGAAAAAGATAAACAGATTTTCTCCAAAATGTAAGCAGATTTCAAACAGAACTCATGTCAGTCCATTATTAGTGCCATTTTCACCAGAATTAGGCCAAAACTAAATAGAACTTTGCCAAAGTTAACAGATTTTAGCTATTTTCACGAAAATTTTAGAACTTATTTGGAAGAAAGACTCATCTTACTATATTGATTTTAATCTTATTAACAATCAAAAACGATAACAAGAAAATGTGTATTTACAAATATATGACAAGAAAACAAATAGTCATATCGAAACTGGCGCAAAACTATCGCTAATTAAAAAAATTAGAATCATTTTATGGTTTCCAAAGTTTTAGAGTGCCATCTTCTGAATATGTTCCAATAAGATTTTGATGTGGATGATGACATACGCCGATCACATCTTTGTCATGAACCTGTTCAAAAGTAAAACAATAACAAATTATTCTTATAAAGTTAACAAGTTACAGTTAACACTTACGGATAAAACTTTTTCTAATTTTCCTGATTGCACACTAAAACAATAGAGCACCATGTCTTCTCCACAACAATAAATCCATTCACCACGTGGCGAAACAGCACAACAAACAAAATCTCCGTTTTCTTTTTTACCACTCGAAAAACTTCTTACAATCTAAAAAACAAATGATTAATAATAAAACTTAAAAAGATTAATGGAAAACAGACAGTACCTGGCCCTGCATATTCATAATAACGACCGTATTACTACGATTACACACAACAAATTGATCATTATTTTTCGATAATAAATGAATACTATTTACGCTTATATCTGATGTACCACCAAATGATTTAAATGTTGATATACATTCGGCAGTTTTTATATTGAATATTTTCACTGTACCATCGGAACTGGCACTGAAAGTGAAAAACTACTATATATAAATATCACATAACATTTTTGTTTCGTTATTTTTATTTACATACCTAATGACGCTATGTCCATCGGCTATGAATGCTGCATCGTTTACAAATGAGGCATGTCCACGAAATTCCTTAATCACTTTACCAGATTTCAATCCATGAATACTAAATAAAAGAAAAAATATTGTAACAAAAAAGAAATTACAGCAAACAGTGCATTATACCGTATTGTTTGATCAAATGATGCACTTAGCAATTGTGTACTATCACGTGAAAACGTCAAACAAGTCACACCTTTAGCGTGTGCTTTATCATATTTTCTTAAACACTGACCACTTTGTATTTTCCATACCTAGATAAAACGAAGTATCAATTAAAGTCCTGCGCTACTCGCTCACATTGAGCCATTTTATTGTAAGAATTGTTTTTGAATGTCATATTATTTTTAAGAGTTAATTTTAGATAGGCAGATAATAAGACGGAAAAAATGAAATAAAACACTTCGTACAATCGAATTGCAGACTTTTTTTTCGATGATTAGGTTAAAAGTTCGATCATTTATGTTTACCTTTATTTTTCCATCTTGACTTCCCGATGCTAACATTTCTGAGTCCCTACTGAAACATAGAGCTAGAACGGCATCATCCATAACCATATAACTGTCTTGTGCTTGATATTTTAAATCTTTACGGATTTTGCCTGTAGAAAAATTCCATACTTCAATAATACCATCGAATGAACCAGTAACGAGATATTGACCATCAGGTGAAAACCTTGCACATTCAACATGTGCTTTTGCACCAAACTGGAACGAAAAAAGAACTTTATATAAGTGCATAAAGTAAATGTTCGATACAGACATACTTTGATATTACGACTCAATTGATTTGGATATTTTTCTTCTTCTTGTTCACGCACTTGAGCTTTTCCACGAAATAAATCGATTGATGTACCTTAAAAACAATTATCTACTTAAAAAATAACGATTAATGTTTATAAGCTTACCAGGTGGTAATAATCCCTGATATTGTTGCCATTTCAGTGCTTGCCCTAATAGAGCTAATAATCTTGATGGTGGAACAACACTAACTTCACCAGCTAATGCATTCGCTATTGCTTGACGTCGCTTTTCTTTGTTTTGACTTTCAGGATATGCCTAAACGTGCAACGTTAGTAATGAAGTGAAATGTGTGCATTGTTCAGAAGTGCTTACTTCTCGGGGATCAAAATAAGAGCGTGTTAATAAATCTTCTAAATGTACATATCGGTCTGGTTGTTGTTGTTTAAGCATGATCATTGGATCTGTTTGTCTAAGTAATGTTCGTGCTGCTCCAATTTCACGTAACTCTATTAATTCAATAACAATCTGAAAAAACAAAGCATAAAGTTAACGAATGTGCCCTTCCTTTTATGCTTGTCAACGACGCACTAGTTAGAGAAGCCCGTCGAATTTATGCATACATAAACAGGAGAACTTGACAAATTAATTCACTATAACTAACCTGTTCATAAAGATCGATTAGTTTATTATCTGATAATTTGAGCGATTGAAGTGCTTGCAAAACTGTATCCCAATGGCCACTATTAATTTCAGAGCTAAAACTTTCAATTGAATCCACTGTGTTTAGCGATATACCACTTTCTTCCTAGAAAAACCAACGTAGAATAATTTCTCATCTACATACTACGAGGATGAAAAATACTTGTAAATTGGCTAATGTTCGTAGTAAATTGTTTTCTTTGAGATATTGTTGAATAAGACGAATGACACTAAAAACACAGAAAAAAATAATGGTATAAATGACAACTCGTATCTAAGAAACTTACTCAGCCGATTCAATTTCCAACGACATGATTTACAAAGTTCTAGAATATAAACCAACTATATGAATACACTTAATCTTTGTAAGATCGTAGTTTCTTTCATACTGAAAAAGTTTTCAGCTTTTGTGCGTTTTTCTCTTAAAACAATAATAAAATGCTACCAACACTTAAGTTTATCCTGACGCTGATAAGTGGATGTCAATATTCATGATGGACAGTAAAAAGATGGCTGATCTGATGCTGATAATTCCCTAATGGAAGTACTTGCATACGAATGCTTGTCCAAGTGATTATGTGAAAAAGATACTCCGATTTACACGTGCAGAAAATACATGATGCATATTTCATCTAGATTTGAAATACGTGAAAGTGAGAGTGAGCGATTATGAACATCGGTTTTCATTTTAATGCTTAACGCTTAGTATGGTCATTAAATTCAATACATGCAAAGAAAATGGCTATATACAGTTTAAAATATAAGAAATATACAGATTATTATGCAACGATTTTGACCGAGAATAGGTACAATCGTATTGACGCTTGTGATTGGCTGAGTCATACATATTACATCTTGTATTTTAAGGATATGTTCACACTACGACTTAAGCAGCTTAATTTTTTCGCCTTAAGGATTCTGATTGGTGTCTTAACTTTTTCTTCGTAAAGACACCAATCAGAATCCTTAAGGCGAAAAAATTAAGCTGCTTAAGTCGTAGTGTGAACATAGCCATATTCAGTTAATCGTAATTTTTTTCGACTCGATAGAGTTTATATTCTGTATATTTCCATCAATCAAGCTTCGAGAAATTGATCAATTAGATCTCTTCCCTTTCTTCTTCTACGTGTGTAATGAAGACCATTTTTGTGTTACGTTCTCCAATTTTGTTTATTAAACCGTTTAGAATACAAACTTACAATAAAAAGACTTGATTTAGAGAGCTTGATATAAATTTTACTGCATTCATACGGAACAACATTTGCGACAATAACAAATTCATACTTTTGTCATTTATTATTTTGTGCCCTTTTATCGTAATTTTTTACTCTTTTCTATAATCTCACTTATTTTTATCAGTTTCAGATAGAGAAGCGGAATAAGACTTATGTACAAACTTTTACGAGCTTTCGAATAAATAAAAAATATCGTTTCCTTTCGGATAGTACTGATTAAATCACGTTAACATTAGTGAGAAAGCAAGTAGGCGTTTGTGCCATTCAAGGAGTGAGAGAAGAGAAATCGCCAATACTTCTCGTCCATATTTCTAGTAGGACATGGGTTACAACAGTCGCATTTTCTTTTTCGACTCTCCAAGGCATACGAAGAAACTAAAGTAGAGATTCAAAAAACTAGCATCTGACGAGATAAACCGCTCGCTCAAAAATATAACAGAAAAAATGTCTAAAAAAAACAACAAAAAATATAACGGTCGAAAGCTGCCGTACAACGGCTTTGCCGTTTCTCTAATAACAATAACAATATGATGTGATGAATTATATGCTATTTGTAAACACACCAGAAAAAACATTCCATGCAGCGGGAAAAAATGGAATCAGGATAATCAATACTAAAAACTGGAAGACTGGCAGGATGGAAAACATGATTGATCGAAAAGAAATTTTTAACCAATCCTACATCTTTCCTGCGTTCCATTCCAGTTTTTCAGTTTCTAGTAACATAAAGGACAGATAATCTACTGAGGATTTGATGGATGGACGGAACCTACTGAGAAAAAGTCGCCATTGGAGCGTACTTGTGTCTCCATGGCTTTTTCAGTCTAATGCTTGACTAAGACAAACACGAGAAAAGAAAATGTGTTTTTTTCTTAGCTTTTTGAGCCTGTTTGATGAAACTAAGTGTTTAACATTTGCTCGGTCTTTGCATCGCCTTTAACGGAGCAGGCAGATGTCGCTGGGATAGGACACACAGCTGCGCTTTAAGCAGCGATAGTCTATTTACTTTTTTGTTTCCTTCTTAAGTTTGTATCTTTTTATTTACTTATTTATTTAGCCGAAGGCATCGAGTTACAGGCGAGTAGCCTCTAGCAGTCTGTTACCTTTCCTGAATAAACAGTTATTAGTTTAGCTAGTTTAAGTTAGGCGTTTTTTACTTATGCAATCAGTACACTGTATTTAAAAAATGTCATCAACAACAAAAAGATAAACAAGTAAGAGGTACATATTATCTATCGCACACAGACAGTTGCGAATTTGAATCATCTTGTTCATCTGCTTCCAGTTTGCAGTTATTATCAAAAGATCAACTACTTCACTTTATTGGTTTTATTCAAGCAATTAATATGATTTACATGTCATTTAAAAAAAATGGTTTTTATCTTTTCGCCTTCCTTTTCGGATCGATTAAACTTGAAAGATCTTCCCCAAACATCATGAAATACTTCTCGAATGAGAGACTATGTTGCGAATAGGTTTTTCCTTGTTCCACTTCAGAAGCCACAAATTTTTTTTCGAATTCAGCGTAAGAAACTGGATCTAGAAATGTTGTTCTATACGGTGAGGATTAAAGAATAATACGACGTTTTTGTTACAAAAAAAATGTGAGGAAATTTCTATAGAAATGGACGATTTAAAAATGAATGGTAATGGATCATTGACTTTTTTTTCATTATCATCTATGTAAGAATTTTAGAACAAATGGTCTAATAGAAGCGGAAACAAAATAAAATGATTAGTTTTTTGAT